AATACAACAATCAAAATTTTAAAATATAACAATAAAAACACATGGTAGAGGAAAGTTGGAAGCCTTCTGCCGCCAATAGGCCACCGAAAACGTACCTCTGGCATTAAGGAGGCAGGTCAGATGCAACAGCTGCACCTGGCTGTCTGTTTAGGGGAAGTACACATCCCGAGTGACTGATTTCTGTCATTAATTAGGTGTACGTCAGTGGCCCAATAAAAGACATGCCCCAAAACATTTCCTATATTGCCTATTTACCTACTTACCTATTTACCTATTTACCCAAGTTGATTGGCACAATTTGGCAGTCTATTTACCTAAGTTGGTTGGCCACTGGACTAAGCCACCTGCGCATCTGTCCAATACTCAAGACGTCCAGCTGCCTACAACGGTTCGGCAAAGTATGAACCTTCATCAAAGGAAACTTAACCTTTAAGAACAGAAACCCAAAAAACATGAAAAAAAACATTGTTTAANGCCTACAACGGTTCGGCAAAGTATGAACCTTCATCAAAGGAAACTTAACCTTTAAGAACAGAAACCCAAAAAACATGAAAAAAAACATTGTTTAACGGTTTAACCATGTATGCTGAACAGGATTCCAGATTGACCGACATCAATCAGTACGCCAGCTGTCGACGACCTAGCACAATAAAAGACTTTTTTTTTCTTTTTTCTTTTTTTTTTGCCCAACAGTTTTTTTTTTTTTTTTTTTTGAAACTTTCCCGCCAAAAACAAAGAAGATCCTAATTTGGTCAGTTTGGAATAGGCCATCCTGGCTAACTAACTGAAAGGTTTTGGGAAAAAGAAAAAAAAAAAAGATTGAAAGGTTTTGAACAGAGCACGCTGGCTGACCACCCCGATGACAGTGACGACAATGGCTCGCTGAGAGAATCGCGATGCCTGCCCAAGGAGCCGCCATCCTCGTGCAAGGACATTTTGGGAGTGCACGTGGGTGTAATCTGACCTTCAAGGCGGTCAGATACATATCCCGAGAATGTCCTCCCATACTAACACTGGTACTTTTCCAGGACGTATATAACCAACCATAAGAGCCAGGTTCAGTCCAGAAATTCCTGACTGTCAGTATGCCCTGATACTGTAAGTTAAATGGTAAAAGGAGCAAGATTCATTTGGTCACCACGGCCACTGCATATCACAGTGGAGAATTCTATTTTTTTTTCTCTATCTCTATCTCTATACTCTTAAAGATTGCAAAATCTCTATACTCTTAAAGATTGCAAAGGGCCCAGCGTGACGCATCCCGCTGGGCCCAGCGAAATTCGGTGCGGCTGCAGGAGGGACTGGGGCAAGGGAAGAAATCAGTGGCGGCTTTTCGCGGAGGGACTGTGGGCGGGACTGGGGGTGGCGGCGTTTCGTGGTGGCCGCATGTGGGCCTGTGTGCGTATCGACCAGTGCAAGAGTGCGGTGTGGCCCTGCGGGTTTTTTTTCTTTGGGCCGTGGTGTAGGGCGCGGGCGGGACAGACGACGTTATCCGAGCGCTCTTTTGCGGCGATCTACGGTGGCTGTATGCGCAGTGCAGTGCGTGGGGTCTGGCGCAGCGGCGGGGTGGTAGCCAGGCATGGACTGTAGGAGTGCAGTGGGCGAGCGTCGGGAGTGCCGTGTTTGAGCTCTGGCGCCATTGCCAGCGGGGCGTCGTACGACATCGACCGGCAACGACGCGTGCACGTGCGGACAGTGTGCGTGGTCGGGGAGGGGGGCGAACCTAAAGACGCATGCGCATGGGTGAACTGTGCGTAGAGGGGGAGCCACGCGAAACTATAAAATGCCTGTTGTTGCTCCCACAGTATTCACCTTTCGAAGACGCTGCTCTCTTCGATACATCCTTCCTGCGCGCAACACGTGCAAGAGAGAGAGAGAGAGAGAGAGAGAGAGAGAGAGAGAGAGAGAGAGAGAGAGAGAGAGAGAGAGAGAGAGAGAGAGAGAGACGCGCGCGCATGGGCGAACTGTGCGTGGAGGGGGAGCCGCGCGAAACTATAAAATGCCTGTTGTCGCTCCCACAGTACTCACCTTTCGAAGACCGCTGCTCTCTTTGATACATCCTTCCTGCGCGCAACACGTGCAAGAGAGAGAGAGAGAGAGAGAGAGAGAGAGAGAGAGAGAGAGAGAGAGAGAGAGAGAGAGAGAGA